GTTTTGATAAGCGCGGAGATCGGCCGACCCGCGTGCACAGTAAAGCTGTCGCTTTCGCTCGATTGTCGGCTACGATTGGAAACTCGATCTCTCGAATTCCACGGCAAAGGTCGCCCGCGAGACTGTAAACAGCAACAACGGTAACGACAATATCGAAACGCGCAGAGCCGCGCGTGGGTATCGTGCATTTTGGACCGGAACAAAAAAAAAAAAGCTTCGCCTCGAAGCGCGCCCCCTGCTGCCGAATGGTTTTTCTAGCGGTGGAAAGTTCGTAGACCCCGTATGCAGCTAACTTTCACCCGGCGGCGGCGGCGGCGACGGCGGTGGCGGCCAAAAGGTGAATCACGCCGTGCACGTGAATCGGCCGACGAGCTCGTGCGCCTCTTACACCGGAGACTTTTCCCTCTGTCCCGTTAGCGTGTCTACGTGTAAAAAGCGCTTTATATAGCGACGTTTTCACGGTCTCCTCGAGGCCGCCGAAGCGTATTCCACTTTTCATTCGGTCGCTTCTGCTCTCTCATCTGATTCGAATAAATCGTTTCTCCCGATTAAAAGATAACTCGCCCGCCGTTCGCTCTCCTTTCCTTGATAACCGGGCGCGCGCGCAAGTGCGTGCATGTGTTTACTCGCGGCGGCGCGTGCACGTGGGTTTCGCGCGTATCTGGAGCAAGTACAAAGCTAAGCTCAGCGAAATTTTTGCACACTTTTCGCGATTACCTGTCTCTTCTTTAACTTAACTCTATTGTTTTCGATTACGCAGATAATTTCAAAACTGATACAATTATTTCTGCTAATGTCAGCGTGTTTTCGCTCAAGCGATAACATTCGAATAATTTACTCTGTTGAAAGTCTGTCAATCGGGCCGTGAACAGACTAGCCCTGAGACACCTTATTATCGTTTAATCAATTTTTCCTCTAAATCACGCCCGAATTAAAAAAAATTGCCATCGTTACCTACGTTTACCGGAGAAAAAAGAAGACGACTGGGGTTATTAAAAGTCACGTGGCTCGCGTGGCGATCGCATTATCCACCGGTCCGAGGCATTGCCGCGTGACTGCAACGCAGAAAACGTAAATTACACTCGGCCGCGCCGCGCCGGTAAAATTTTTCTTTGACACCGCGGGATGACGAGCCAATTTTGTTTTTTTTTCTCATCCTTTTGCGCCTACGTCACGAAAAAAAATTACTTTCTTACATTTCACTCCGGTTAGATATTTGCCAGTGAGCCGCGAGGGTCTTGTTTCAATCGCGAAACAATGTACAATGTGTCGCACGCGCGCGATAAACAAGAGGCTCATCAATTATTCATCGGTCCGCGAGAGAGCAGCAGCGTTTTATAATTGCGAACACCCACGCATACATCTGGCGCTCCGTTTTCGTCGCGCGACAGTTATTCAAGCTATGATAGCGCGTAGAATGATGAAACGAACTATTACCGTGTCAATGCTTGATCGAAAGCCTCGTCCTTTTCCTCTTTTTCGGTCCTGTTCGGTTCGCCTAAATGTTCCATTAATGTGCAAGTTTTTTCGAGCCATCGAATAACATACGAATCGTTTCGTTTTCTTTCCTCGTGCGTTTCTTTTTAACGGCACAACTGTCTGAAGATGTCGATCAAACTTGAATGTTTAATCAAGAGAGCAATGAAAAAATTGGGTTTGCTTTTTTACTTTCGAGCCAGGAAGTCGAACGCCAGCTCGAGCACCTTTGTTAATTTCATTGACGATTATCTTCAACGACTGTAAACACACGTGTGAGCTACGTGACGCAGTATTATGAATAAAAATCAATCTTTTTTTTTTTTTTTAGCCGTGATCGGTAGAACCGGTAAACAGGTGTACATTAAATTGAGGCCTCCGGCATAGGCGTGCGACTACCGAAAGGTAGCGCGCCCTTGACTCGCCGGCTCTTGCTCGAAAACGCCATCGCCTCGACGTCCCCTTGGCCGGCCAACGAAGCTCAAAGCTCAGCCGTGGCGCAGTCGTGGCCCGCTGACCATAGCCGCCGCGCGACCCTGGCTAAGGTCGACGCTTTTAATCCGGTGATCGCGCGCGCGAAGCCTCAAGAAGGCGAGCGACCAGCGGCGTGGGCGTGCAGCGTGTGCGGCGCCGCGGGAAATATAGCGAACTTGAGCGAGGTCGGTCTTCCTCGCGAGCAGACTCGCCGGACGTGGGACGCGCGGGTGTGTCGTCGGAACGCCGGGGAGACAGGACGCGCCGTTTTCGCGCCTTTCTCTCGCCTGCGGGCCGCTCGACGTCCGATCGGTCGTCGACAGCGCTGATTCGGCACGATGCGGCTACTTCCGAGCTGGTTTCAAGCGAAGACCACTGCCTTTATCGACTTGCAATTAGTCGCAATTGCCGCTGGCTATCCATCGACGAGTATTCAAGCCGCGTCCATCACCTGGCGTTCAAAAGAATAACAGACGGCCGCAAACCGCTTGACCTACTGCCCGTTGGCTGTGTGTGTCCTGAAAAGAAGGCCGTCTAACGTTCTTTGTGAAAGTGAAATTGAATTACGCGTAGAAGAGAGAGAATCTTGAGCGAAGCTGACAGTCTCGTATGTAAATGAAGCTTCAGGCTGGCACTTCTTTTCAGCTGTTCTCGTGGAATAGTCCCGAAAGCCATTGAAAATTTTGCCAGAATTTTCGAATGTATTTATTATGATAAATCATAAACGATACGAATCCGTGATTCTTGTGCGCGATAATAATGCGTACTTTCTTTAAAATTGAATATAGTTTAAGGAGCATTTCGAATTTGAATCACAAAGTAATCAGCATAATAACCGTCGTAATATTGCACCAGCTGATCAAACTTTCAAAACTGTCTGGTAATCGGCAAGTTTTTAATGTCAACGAAATCAACACCCATCTTGGAAAAATGGCCGCACGAGGGTCCGATGACCCGTGCGCGCGAAGAAGCCGGTAATCTAATAGCAAAGCGCAGTTTTCACTTTCATCGCGGGCTTGTATATACTTGCCTTTGTGCGCTCGCTTACTGTACTATCGTTCGAGGCTTGACAGCTGAATGGGCCGCCTCGAGCTTTTCTTTCACTCGCGAGCGAGCGACGAGAGGAAAAGGTTAATTGCCTCCGTTTGTCAGCTTGAATTTGAATCGCAGGGCGAATCTTTATGAGAGGCGATAATTGCCTATTCGCGAACAATTTCACTTTTGTGTTTTACAGCCCACGTCTTCGCGCGCCACTCGATGAAAGTCTCTCGCGGACGTATTTACATCGGCGATACCATCGTGTGCGTCGCCGTGCGCGCCTGCAAATCAATTAAAAGTGTCTCGGAGCCAGCGGATACAAGAAGAAACGAAGAAAATACAAAAAGTAAAAAGAGGCGCAGCAGCGAGCAACTTTCACCGAAAAAACCGAGTCGCCAGACAGGAGTATATAATGTTCGCCCGCCTCCCCCTCTCCGTCAGCGCTCCCACCTGTAAATTCAACTCGACAGTTTTAATCTGCCGTGGGAGCACAGCCGTGCCATTACAATTTCTTTATTAATACAGTGGCGAATGCGTATTCTCTTGCTTTTCGCACGTACCGAAAGCTCTTCGAGAACGCCTTGTTTTTCGCCATAATTACCTTGCTTCTCGATCGCCAATCGCGTCGTCGATCGTTCCCACCGTCGAGATTACCCCGAAAAAGCGAAGCTCGATTCGAAAAGGCCAAGTGAACCAGTGGCACCCGAAGCAGTGTCAGTGCGGCGCGGCTCGCGCGATTACTTTCTCCGCGCTCGTACACTGGCCCCGCTGCTGCTGCTGCTGCTGCTGCTGCTGCTGCTGCTGTGCTCTCTTCCGGGTCTCCTTTCTATCCCCACCAAGCGCTGCTATCTCGTCCTCGACTTGATATATAACTGCAGTGCGCGAGTGGAAGGGGCTTTATTTCTCGCTGGTAGGGGGGCATATATGTCTTCCATAAAGTGCTCATCCGATTAGCGCTTTTATTTATACGCTGAGGTTGCATTTTTTGAAAGGGAAATCAGTGTACGGAACGTGCATGGGTGGTTTCTTCAGTTGTGGCCTTTCGGTGTGAAATTCTCGATGACGGTGGCTCATTCGTATGCTATTTTTTTTTCAAATTAATTCAAGCCCCGGGAAGCTTAAATGTAGCTGACTTACCGGTTTCATTCAAGGAAATCTAAACGTACGTTTTCTTTTAACGGGTCACAGAAATAAGAGCAATCTTTACGCATGGTTTGCTAGAGGTGCGTTATAGATGCGCATACATCAATAATGAATTTGAGTTTTCATATCCGTCGCTTTGAATCGTCTAACACGCGTTCGCGATTGTTTGTGCGACTGAGCCTATAAATTATTTTATCGTACTCAACACCTCATGCCTCCATCTAATTTACGATTTCCTAGCTAAAATTCCAAAGGAAAAACGAATTTTTTTTTTTTTTTTGCTCGTATTTCTCGTTTTGCTTTCGCATCAGCAAGGCAAACGAGCGGCTTGTTACCCATTGTTTGACCATCGTCGACGTAATGGAAAATGAATGAAGTGTTCGCTTGCTCGTTCATTTTTTGTTTTTCTTTTCGTGTCAATTTGTCATACTTTCATTGCTTTTATTTTCTTCGTCGTGTCGCAATGTTTTTTGCAAAACTTTTTATGTTAATGTAACTTCTAGGAAATGACGTTCGTAGAATAAGGAACGCACGCGTATGCACTAACACTCGACTCATCGTAGACACATTAAATATAGTCCGCGGTGACGAAAAAAAAACAGCTCTCGTCGGTTAGCAAGTCAGTCAGGTGAAAGGCAGGCGCGAAAGTACGAAAAATCATGCAACTAAATTGCGAATATAAACAGTTCGATGAAAACGACGTAAATGTATTTAACTGCTTGTGATATTCGTATTTTTACTAGCTTATTTGTACTACATTATATATCCGTATGGCAAAATTCTCCAACTAATTGCTAGACATCATCGTTATCCGCGTATAATAAAAGAGTGGTCGTAATTCATCTTTACCATTTTTTTATTTGTTCCAGGTAAGCCCGACACTTTCACACATCGCATCTTGAACAGTAAGTCGATAAAAGCTTTTCCTTTTTTTTCAAACTGCGCCTCAGTCGCCGCACGTGTGTATCCACGCCTCGTAACCGGTCAACGCATGCGCGCGGCCTCGACTTTAGACGCGGAAGCGAGATCAAGATAATGCGCGCGCGAGCGTTTCTTTTTATGCATGATTTTTCGAGTTTCGCAGGTTTCGTTGCGTCTGCTTGTATCTGGGTTGGATTTAGTCACTAAAATGCTTCGAAGCCTCGTGTATCCGTTTTTGAGAAACGGGAGACCCAGTTTTTTGGATGAAGGTAATACTTCCTGTACATACCTTTAAATACGCTCGCGTTAAATGCAAGATCTGTAAAATTATCAATTAATGAGTCCATATTTCCCTATTCGATATTTTTCATTGTGTGATTGATTGTGATAGTTCGATATTTTTGATTGTGAACTTGCTAGATCAGAACCGAATACGCGTATTTTCTGCTTAACATAGAGCCCCAAGGTCTTTTGTAATTTTTTTAATGTCGCAAAATTATATTTGAAAATGTGTTTGGAAGACTGCTTTAAGGTTGCAATAATTCTGCGATGCTCGACCATCATTTTTTTAAATATTTTGTTTAATATGTATCCGCACCTAATGTACGAATTCAAATTTACTGTTAATATTTTTTTTCGATTTATTTTTACTATATGATACACTTACTGGACACAAATTAGCTATACTATTGAAACTCAAATAACTGAAAATATTAGGAAAAATTTCGGGTAGGTTCAACAAACTTGCCTTCGCAGATTCCATTACGATTATTCTCAGTTATTTATTTTTATCCAACTAAAGTCAGCATCTTTTCACTCGTTCGCATAAAAAGCTAATATAAGCAAACTGAATGGTATATATTTTTATAAAAAAAGAAAAAAAAAATGTAAATATAAGCATCGAAAAAAAAAAGACTTTTAAGCTATAATATGGTTCTAGCGTTTCGAATCAGCTTCAAGGCTCCTTAGTAGAGCTATGCGCGCGCGCGCGACGCGAAATTATCGCCAAGCCATTAGCGGCCACTCTCTTATACGTATCGATGCATCTCTGCGCAAGGTCTCTCGCTCGCATATGCATATACATATACCCCACACTTAGAGAAGTCAAGACGTGTAGCGATCGCTAGCTGCTTAGTTTTTTTTTCTCTTCTCATTAATCGTACGCGGCTGCGCGCGCGAGCTTTTGTCTTCGAAGGAAACTTTTGCGCTCGTTGCGCGTTTTCAGATTTCAGTGCTCCCTCGCGAGGTATAATTCGAAGGTTTCGTTTCTCCTCGCCGACCGTAAGATATACGTTGCTCGCTCGCGGACACGCCCTGATTCGAGAATCTATAGTTTACTATCGACGGATCGCATTAATGTTTATTCTATTGTTTGATTGCGGATAATTAACTCGAAGTATGTTAGTCAACGAAGGCTGGTAATTTTCTGATAAATGAAAGAGCAGGATCGATCGCGTAAATGTTCGCGCGATTGTTCCCTTGCGCGTATGATTAATATCGCTTATATTGGAAGTGCGTAATTGTTTCCGACTTTCATTCGCGGTGCGTATAAATCATATTGTAAGCACTGTACTATGGACACGAAAGCCACGTGTTTGACAGTTTTCTAAGCTCCCGCGGGGCTCATTATTGAAGCGTCAATTGCGACGTTAATTGTACGGCGACTTTATTGAACGATGATACTTGTCTTCGAATTCAATGGGACTACCGCATGAAATGATGCTGAATGGATGTTCCTATGGATTTTCAAGCTTCGTGAATCTGTGACATTTCAATGGGAAATATCTATGAATATCGTTTGGTTGTGCACCTTGAAACCTAACAATAAATATTAATTGCCGAACAAAATCGTTCGTCGAATTCATAATTTACAATGAAAACCAAACTAGTCCAACGTATTCGGCCCATAAAAAACAAAAAAACAAAAAAACAACAATACAATAAAAACGAATATATTCTTTCACGAATCGAAAGAATGATTGATTTACATCATCTGTTGACGTCAATCTCTCTCACGCGAAAACAAGTTTAATTTCACTTTGTACCACCGGGATCTAAACGAATCAATCGGTCAGTTGGCCGACAAACGATAAAAGAATTGGTGCTAGGTGTTCAGCTATGCATATGCCCTCCATAAATTTTCGGCGGCGGCGAAAGTGAAAGCGCGCGCGCTAGATTTGCTATTTGGACGAGTGAGTTGATCCCTGGCGCTGCTTAGAATGGCATTACCGTCTTGAAATTTTCACGCCGTTCTTTCAACATCTGCAATGTATGTTCTTCCTCTCGAATAAGATCACCATCTGATTCTCTCGCACGTTGTGAATTATTTACAGGTGTTGAAAGTTCTATTTCTGATCGTCGAACGTTGTCCTTTCACCTCTACTTGACTTTGATACATCTTTTCTGTTAAGAAAGAAATTCTGTTGTTATTTGTTTGAACGAGCTACTCGTTTCAAAGTAAAATCACTGGGAAAATAAAGTAATAGATAGAGGTGCTAAGTCTCTGGTGTCAACCGACTGAAGGAAGTGCAGGAGCAGCAGCAGCAACAGGAAGGCGCGAGAACTAGATATAGCGCTCGTCCCGAAGCAGGAAGTATAAATGCGCCTATCTATATGTCTCGCTGAATTTACCTTTCTCGCCGATAATCGCCATCTAACTTTTCATAATCATATATAGCGCGAAAGACTTTTTTCCTAACCGTGCATTCGATTAATCGTGTGTAGGCTTTTACTTTCTTCGCTCGATGGGAGTGGGAGTTAAACTACCTTGGGTATTATACGTGATGAATGGCAATTGAGTATTATAAAGTGGGCACGTTTTGTTGTCAGCAATAAAGTTTCCAATTTATTCTTCGACAAAACTATACTTGAAGGAAACATTACATTTTCACGACATATATAGATATTTGTAAAATATTTTTCGACAAATTGAAATACAAAGTTCATGTTGAATTACACCTAAGTATCAATGGTTTATGTGCACGTTCTAATTGAAAAAAAAGAAAACTAAAACGCTACACTCAAACACGAAAGTTAAATAATTTTATTGTTTGATAAATTTGGTTCCTAAAAGTGACTGAACATAATTCGCAAAACATTGGACGGAATAGAGAGGTGATTTACTGAAGGGTTGAGCTTTCGCAACGCTAAATTTTTTTTGCATAAACGTGATTGAAGGTAGCAATGATAAAATGTAAGTTTAAAAATAAGTAAGCATGTGACTTAACTAAATTTGAGAAATCGGCACAATTTTTTAAAGATCATAGATAAATCAATCATACAGGTAATGGCATAAAGATATATCTGATTATTCAATTAGCTCTACTGTATATTTATCCGAATTATGCATGAAGTTTATTTTCATGAATAAAAAGTATGTCATTCGCTGATCAATCACTTTGTCGTTTCTTTCTATAACGTGTACCGATAAGCTTTAAACGCTAATTCGAATATCAGCCAATTACCAATATATGTGTAAAAAATTGCTTTGGAATAATTGCGATTCCACATAAACACATCGCGGTCACTGACGAAAGAAAGAGAAAAACAGCATAAGAACCTTGTCAATTCACATACATACGATGAGTTTCACCCACTCTCCAATGATTTACATTCCAAATGACGTGCGGCGAATTGGCAAAGTTCAACGGATGACGTATCTCCGACCACGAGAAGGTATTCTAAACAATCGCCGGAAAATTTTGTTTGGAAAGTTTTTTTTTTAATTTTATGCTCAATTATTGTCAATTGAGTATGACTTCTGCTTTTTAAAGTCTGAAGGAGAGTGTGTCATAGAAAATCTTGATAGGCTATCAATTCTCTTCGAAAAATTTCATTCACCAATGGAAAGCTTAAATTTTTTTTCTTATTGACGCTTTTTTTTGGCCAATCAATTGAGAGGCAGTGAAAGTTCAGATCTTTAAGGCATCATGGGCGGATTTTCGTGAGATCCGATCAGACTTCGTAATTAACCGTGAGTGTTTCGTGATGAGTTTTTTTTGTAAACGAAAGAGTTTGAAAAAGGTGATAATCGTTTGAAGTTTTTACTTGTGGAGAGATAAAAAATGCTCGTATATGCGCCAATATGAAGTAATTTTTGTCGTAATAAATCGAATATTAACGCGTGAGAACAAACATAAAAAATGTTATCATCAGCGTCTTCGCGTATCAGCAACGGTAATAATTCTTCGCAGGCGACGAAAAAAGCGCGTAGCAAGTACTGCACCGCATTCCCGAAACGGCGAAAGCCACCAGACGACTTTCATCTCTCTATCTCTCTCTCTCTATCTTTCGAAAATTTCGACTGCGTGAAAAAAAAGCGTACAGAGTTGCATTGCGCAATCCAGCTTTATGACAAATGAATTGGAGCCGATGTCGATGGAATTTCTCATCTAATGTCGGTTATAGCTTTCTCTCTCTCGACCGAAAAGTAAGTAGGTCAACTAGTGGTCCTGACGGACGTTAGGTATAATTTGGGTTTCTCTTTTTTTTTCTCTCGCTCGTATGCACAACGCTATAAATTTTCTCTTTCTCCTCGGTGAAAAATTTCGGACCCGTTGATGACTTTGCTTTTTCATCGTCACACGCTTGATGATGAACGATTCTGAAGGTTCGAGGATGATTAAGATATATATATATATATATATTTTTATACTGAAAATCAAAGTTGTAAGTCTTTGAAGCTTAAATGGAATATTTGACAAGCCGAAAAAAAAAGTCTTCACAGAAAGAAGCAGATTGAATTAGATCGAAATCCGAGTCACGGAATCGTCATAAACTCTCACACGGAATTCACATAGCGCATGAATTTCCCTTCCTTGTTTAAGCGAGCCCGTCAATAGTCAAATTTACGATCATTCTCACCGAATCACTCGTAAATCGCAAGCAATTTCGTAGCCGCATCGGCAAAAAAAAATCTTTCGTACGCTGCTTGCGCATCAATCAGTCTTCAATGGTCCCGCAGGCGCTTCGTGCGCCCAATTAT